CTTTAAAGTGAATCCCACCCTTTTTTTAACAACTATTCCAAAGAAAAATTTTTTTTTTATATACTTCATTTTTTTAATTAAAGTTCAGATCAATAATTCTAATCTAGGAAAGAATGATTATACCCAGACCTCGTGCACGTGCAGGAAAGCAACAGGTCACTTCAAGATCCGTAAGGGCAACATGAAGCGTGGTCCTGCGAACTGCCTCCTGGGATTTCTACATCAATCATCCTAGGGGGCAGCTTGCGGGATCTTGCACAGAAACAGTATGGGGTCTCTGCCAGTTTCATGGCAGAGCCCACGGTGTGTGTCACATGCGCATCATGGGGTGTGGTACATGTGAATGCACACCGCAGGGATCTGCCAGGTCCTCTTTCACTTCCTTTTTGGTTATGGGACAGTAAGTGAAGGTGAATCTCCCCAATGGGACACAGATGGCCAAAAATAAATTGACAGGAGTTATAAACCTTTCTCTTATGCCGGCCATAGATGGGTCGAAAAATCGGCCGATTTTTTGCAATGTTAGTGGGTTAATTGGCTGGCTGTTTTTCGGGTTTTTTGCAGTTTTTTTATCGGCCATGTTGGAAAATTTGCGGCCGATCAGCCGAATTTTCCCGGCAAGGATGGGCAAATCGGCCAATCGTTTTACCGATAAAAAAATCTGCGCATGAGCCATGACCTACAGGTTGCCAGCCAGCAGAAGAAGAAGAAAAAGAAGAGGAAGAAGAAGGAGGAGAAGGAGAAGAAGAAGGAGAAGAAGAATGTACAGGTAGAATGATGTATGGAATGCACAGGTGTCACTGAACGGCGGCTCCGTTCTTCTGCTATTATATTTTATATGAAAAAGTCTTGCGGTTGCAACAAAAGTATCCATTTGTATCCAAAAAAAAACATAATGTATTTGTATTGCTGTCACATTGTATGGTGTGCTCCCCTTTCTCTTCACTGTCAAACTGGTTTCTTGTCCCATTCTTTCATGAGCATTGCTGGTAGCATCGGCATCGACCGATTTTTCGTTTATGGGCCGACAATTCGGCCAATAAACAGCCCGTCTATGGCCTGCATTACTCTATCCAAAATGATAAAAAAAAAAAGTTTTGCCTGTAGTTCTACTTTCCCAAGTTATCCAATCCAAAACATATATTTTAGTGTATGCTCAATGTTGGGGAGTTAAACCACCTGATACCATTAGTGAGGTCTTTGTACTGGGTACTAGGGTCTGCAGACCTGCGGTGCTTATTTTGAGGGGTTCCCACCCTCCCTGGGGGACTTTTATTTACTGAAATTTTTGAAGAAGTTAACATTAGAAGCTGGGGACACACAAAGGTGAGTAGCAACACCCCAAACTCCCAGGTAGACAGGAACCGATTTGGGAATTGGCAATGAGATCTCACCGTTGCAGTATCCAAAACATACAGACATGTTAAAAAAGTAAGTACACCTCATGAAAATTGTTGACTTATCCAACATATATGAACAGGTAAACATTAGATAATTCACTTTTTTAAATACATGTTTATTCAAGCATCTCAAGAAGTTGCCATTTTCCATGTGTCACAAAAGCAAAGCAAAAAAGTAACAAACAAACAAACCTCAAGGGGTATCACCATCAAACTGCCATAGCAAATAATAGAAACAATAAAAAAAAGTTCAAAAGTACTCATAGAACATACTTTCCCAAACACTTGTATGGTGATAGAGTTTGTGGTCAGTTTATAACAAATAATAAACCAGGGAGAAAGAAAGAAAAAAAGAGAGAGAGAGAGAGAAAAAGAAAGAAAGAAAGAAAGAAAGAAAGAAAGAAAGAAAGAAAGAAAGAAAAAGAAAGAAAGAAAGAAAAAGAAGTTCTCCCATTCTAACCGCGCATGGGTGGCTCCAGGAGCACGCAGCACGGCGATCGGCGGTGCGCTGTGTCCCTCGGACACAGCGGATCACCGATCAACGGAAAGAGCCGAAGATGTCAGCTCGGTCATGTGATCAGCTGTGTCCAATCACAGCTGATCACATGTAAACAGGGAAATGCCGGTTATCGGCATTTCTCTCCTCAAGAGCTGTCACGCTGACAGCTCGAGAGGAGAGGAGAGCCGGTAATCGGCATTCCTTGGAGGGGACATGTACACTGATCATCAGAGCACTGATGGATCAGTGTGCCCTGATGATCTGTGTAGCCCCAGCAGTGCCACCTGTCAGTGTCCATCAGTCCACTGCTTCTCTTTCACTGTTCAGTCACAGGCTGCAGAGAAAGATCAGGTCCCCTGTCCTGCATGGCAGAGCTGTTTAAATCTCAGGACGCGATAAAGAGTTGCTCATTGGCTAACAAAGGACATACAGACACCAGGAGAGAGCAGAGAGATGAACTCATCAGTCTTCTGCTTCTCCTTTCACTGTTCATTCACAGACTATAGAGAAAGATTAGTTCCCCTGCCATGCCAGACAGAACTATGCAGTGTGGCAGTGCTGTGTAAATGTCAGGACTGGATAGACCGAATTACAAAATCTTTCGGCAGGTAAGGTATTTCATATGGTAATAACTCACCCAAGCAGAGAAGCTACTCTGATTGGGTGAGTTATTACCTACTTTGGTAGTCTGCTCTTTGCAGCTGCTTTTTGTTTCTTTATACTGTTCTTAGGTTTACATCCACACCTTATTTTTGGTGAGTCTGAGAACTCTATATAAGGTCACCCCGCCTTGCTATGGTGGCATCAATCAATTTAAATTCAGGTATATGAATGGTTTCATATATATGTATGTAGCTCTGTGTAAATGTCAGGACTGGATGAACAGTTGCTCATGTGCTAACAAAGAACAAACAAAGAACTCATCAGTCCGCTTCTTCTTCTTTCACTGTGCATTCACAGGCTGCAGAGGAAGATCAGGTACCCCTGCCCTGCTAGACAGGACTATGCAGTGTGCCAGCGCTGTGTAAATGTCAGGACTGAATGAACAGCCAATCAGAGGTTATCACAGCGATCATGTGACCCGGAATCGGGAGTCCTGGGGTCCCGATTGTTAGAACGGGACTCTGGCTTTTGGTGACACCCCGCTCTTTGTGTTGGGAGTGCGCTGTACGCTGCTCTCCCAGCACAAAAAGACAAGTACGCAAATATGCGGCCCCATGGAAAAAAGCCCAGTTCTGTGAGGCCGCATATTTGTGTGACGTCGGCGGGAAGGGGGTTGAACATACAAATCTAGGCCTCCTCCCCTTCTCTGCCCCTCTTCTAGAAAGTTCCTCCAGTTTCGAGAAGGGTGGGAGGGCTCCAGAAGCCCTTACCTGTAGAGCCTGTCAGCCGGCCCTGAAGTAACCTCACTATCTCACTCCCAGGTTGTCTCATCCCAGGCTTCTAGCAAGCCTCTAATGAAAAAAAACTCCTATCTACCTAGAGGGTGCTACATGTAAAGTTCTTTACTGAATTAATCAGTCAGTGACATATTTTTTTAAAACGTAGTATGAGTTTGCTAGATGGACAGGAAAAACTTAATGTCATTCAAAGAGCAGAGATTAATACTACTTTGCATTACCCTAATAGCTGTCAAGAGACAACCTGTCGCAGGTCCAAGAAACGCTTCCACAAAAAGTGAAATTTGTACTTGTTGGTTGAGGACTATCAATGTATGTTTCCACCCCCCCCCCCCCATCTTGAAGGAATCATGCCACATTTCATTCACATTTCCTAGGATCCAGATGCAGACAGTGTCCTCCTGAACAACTTTGCTCTGTTGACTTGAGACAACTAAGATTTGGTGATTTGGTTTCACAAGGTTCAACTTTCCGGACACTGAAGAAGCTTTTGCGATTGTCAGCAGAGGCTGGGCCCTGATCACAAGCTGTATTTACTCATGAATATTTCATGCACTGTAAGAACATGCCTTGCTTGAGTGTAAAATCCAAAGATTGGCAAGATTTAGAGCTCAAAGCTTTTATTAGACTTGTAAATGATCTATGTCCACCGTACAAGATGCAGGAATTCAAAGACAAAGAAATGACCTGCACCAAGAACTAGGCATCCCTTCTGATTTCGGTGGTAATATCTTGAAAAGCAACTCCAATACACACACACAGCTTTCACTTGTTCCAATGTTGTTATGTTGCAGCCTGAGATACTTCAGTTGTTTAAATTCATTTTTTTCCCATTAATCTACACTCAGTACCCCAAAACTACAAAGTGAAAAAGAGACTTTTCGAAATGTTTGCTAATGTATGAAAAAAAGCAAAACTGAAATATCACATTGGCATAAGAATTCAGACCCCTATGCAACAGCACTCAAAACTTAGCTCAGGTGCCCCGAATTTCTCTTGATTGTTGCTGAGATTATTCTACACCTTGATTGGAGGCCAACTGTGGTCAATTAAATTGATTGGACATGATTTGAAAATGCACACACCTCTCTATAAAAGGCCTCACAGATACCAATGCATACTGTATCAGAGCAAAAGCCATTAGGTCAAAGGAACTGCAAGCAGAGCTCAGAGACAGGATTATTGCAAGGCACAGATCTGGGGAAGGCTACAAAAAAACTTCTGCTGCACTGAAGGTTTCCAAGAGCACAGTGGCCTCCATAGTTCTCAAATGGAGGAAGTTTGGCACAACCAGGACTCTTCCAAGAGCTGGTCGCCCCACCAAACTGAGCAATCGGGGCAGAAGGACCTTAGTAAGAGAGGTGACCAAGAACCAGATGGTCACTCTGACTGAGCTCCAGAGATCCTGTGTGGCGATGGGACAAAGTTTCAGAAGGACAACCATCACTGCAGCCTTCCACAGATCTGGGCTTTATGGCAGAGTGGCTAGATGGAAGACTGGTGCTCAGTCAAAATACATGGAAGCCCACTTGGAGTTTGCAAAAGCTTGCACATCAATGAGCCTTCTCGTCCCTGTACGCTCTCTGTATACTAATCTGTGACTACTGATTCGGCGAATTCGTGGAAAAATTTCGATTCGAGTCGAATATATTCGCTGTGAATTTAACTTAAAAAAGGGTGTTTCTAGGCTTCAGAGAGACTTAATATTAGTGCTGAACACTGTACCTTTAATTTAAATGCCCTTGGAGTCTGCTGGGGAAGAGAAATAATACTGTCAGCAGTATGACATGCAGATGAGTGCCGTCGATCTTAGAATCACCGCACACTTCACTCATTTGGGCAGTCACGGGGCCAAAAACCAGAGTGTGGAGCCACAGTGTGGCGGTGGAGGCAGCAGCAATGGGAGGCCATACAGCACCCTATGACAAAAAATGGAAACCACCAGCAGTGTGAGGAGACCTGAAAGTGGCACATGGCAGAGTGTGGCGATAGAGACAGCAGCAATGGGAGGCCGTACAGGGACCCATGACACACTCTGGACCTGGCAGCAGCATGAGGAGGCGGTACAGGGGCCCATGGCAGATTACGGGCCTGGCAGCAGCATGAGGAGTCGGTACGGGGGCCCATGGCAGATTACGGGCCTGGCAGCAGCAATGGGAGGCCGTACAGGGGGACCCATGACACACTCTGGACCTGGCAGCAGCATGGGGAGGCTGGGTACAGGGGCCCATGACAGATTACGGGGCCTGGCAGCAGCATGAGGAGTCGGTACGGGGGCCCATGACACACTCTGGACCTGGCAGCAGCATGAGGAGGCGGTACAGGGGCGCATGACAGATTACGAGCCTGGCAGCAGCAACTTGGACAGGAGGACGTTCAGCTTCTGCACCGTCTGGTGCGTGCTCGCAAACTGTTGTCTCTTGGAAACGGATTCCAAGAAAGACTGCTGACGGAATCCGTGAAGAGGAGTAGCAGGAGAAGGAGCATCTGAACGAGCGGAATATGCCAACAAGCGACAACAGGGGCCCATGACAGATTACGGGCCTGGCAGCAGCATGAGGAGTCGGTACGGGGGCCCATGGCAGATTAGGGGCCTGGCAGCAGCTATGGGAGGCCCGTAATCTGCCAGCACCCTATGACAAAAAATGGAACCCACCAGCAGTGTGAGGAGACCTGAAAGTGGCACATGGCAGAGTGTGGCGATGGAGACAGCAGCAATGGGAGGCCGTACAGGGACCCATGAGAGACTCTGGACCTGGCAGCAGCATGAGGAGGCGGTATAGGGGCCCATGGCAGATTAGGGGCCTGGCAGCAGCTATGGGAGGCCCGTAATCTGCCAGCACCCTATGACAAAAAATGGAATACACCAGCAGTGTGAGGAGACCTGAAAGTGGCACATGGCAGAGTGTGGCGATGGAGACAGCAGCAATGGAGGCCGTACAGGGACCCATGAGAGACTCTGGACTTGGCAGCAGCATGAGGAGGCGGTATAGGGGCCCATGGCAGATTAGGGGCCTGGCAGCAGCTATGGGAGGCCCGTAATCTGCCAGCACCCTATGACAAAAAATGTAACACACCAGCAGTGTGAGGAGACCTGAAAGTGGCACATGTTTGGGGCATGATTCATGGCGGATTTAGTCAGTTGTGTCAGGAACTGGTGGTTTGAAATCCAGACTAATCCACGCCTGATTCATTTTCACAAACGTCAGTCTCTCCACACTTTGGGTGGACAGACAGTCGTGTCCTCCCGCGGAGTTGCAATACCTCCTGCCGCACTAAACACGCGCTCCGATGCCACGCTACTGGCCGGCATGATGACAGCCTTCAAGGGCAAATTCAGCTAGTTGGGGCCAAAGGTCAAGTTTCGTTGCCCAGTAGTCAAGGGGATTGTCTACCTCGGTTGGCAGGGTGCTGTCCAAGTAGGGCCTAAGCCTGTTGTTTGAGGTCCTGCTCCAGGTCCACCTGATGCTGCTGCTGCTGCTGCTGCTGCGGCTGGTTAGTAGTTTCCTCACTGCGCTGGTGAAGAAAGCTACTCATGCACGACATCGACTGCAGACTGAGGCAGCCGCTGCTGGTGGAGCTGCCACTGCTCCTACCACCCCACCCCTCCCCTGCTGCCATGGCAGCGGAACGCGAGCGCACAGGGCCCACAGTGTCTCTGAGGATGGACGTTGGCGCAGACAGGCAGAGACCAGCTGACTACATAGGTGGTTTTTATAGTACGTTATTTTGGCCTCCCTCTCAGCAGGTGTGAAAAAGGCCACCATTTTTGAACGGTAGCGAGGGTCCAACAAGGTGGACAGCCAAAAGTCATCCCTCTGTCTGATGGTTATTATTCGGCTGTCGCTACGCAAAGCAAGCAACCGAGCATGCTATGGGCCATTTGTGCCAAGGAATGCGAGGGACTCCCTGCCTCCATCTCCACAGCAATACTGCCACGGTGCGTCTGGGTCCTCTGTCTCCTCCTCCTCCTCCTCTACCAGATGCTCCTGCTCCTCCACTCCTGTCCCTGAGTGAGTGGAAAAACCACCCATTTCACTCAATAATTCCTGAGCACCAATGTCCTCCTCTACCTCCTCCTCTTCTTCCTGTCCTGCCCCCACAGGGGTCATGTGGCGTTGAGATCTGTGCGCCACGTCTACCGCACCCTGACCAGCCATTGTTAACAGCATTTGTTCCAGGACGTGCAACAGAGGAAAAATGACGTCGTTCATCCCATAGTCCTGCCGACTCACGAATAGCGTGGCCTCCTCAAAGGGCCTGAGCAAGCGCAGGTGTCACGCATGAGCTGCCAATGGCTGACATCTAAGTTACACAGGGAGTACCTTTATCCGCTTTAAACATCAGGAAATCTGTGATGGCCTTTCGCTGTTCGTAAAGGCGGTCTAACATATGTAGGGTTGAATTCCACCTTGTTGCAAACGTCACAGCATGAGGAGTCGGTACGGGGGGCCCATGGCAGATTACGTGCCTGGCAGCAGCAATGGGAGGCCCGTAATCTGCCAGCACCCTATGTCAAAAAATTCAAACACACCAGCAGTGTGAGGAGACCTGAAAGTGGCACATGGCAGAGTGTGGCTATGGAGACAGCAGCAAAGCAGCAATGGGAGGCCCGTAATCTGCCAGCACCCTAATGTCAAAAAATTCTACACACCAGCAGTGTGAGGAGACCTGAAAGTGCACATGGCAGAGTGTGGCATGGAGAACACAAGGACGTACAGGTGACCGACCTGAGCAAGCATGAGGAGCGGTATATAGGGGCCTATGGCAGATTAGGGGCCCGGCAGCAGCTATGGAGGCCCGTAATCTGCCAGCACCCTATGTCAAAAAAAATTCTACACACCAGCAGTTGTGAGGAGACCTGAAAGTGGCACATGGCAAGTGGCGAGGGGGACAGCAGCAATGGGAGGCCGACAGGGGCCCATGAAGACTCTGGCTGGCAGCACAAAGAGGAGGGGGGTTTTAGGGGGCCATGGCAATTAGGGTCCCTTGGG